TGAAATAGAATGCTTTGCCAAGCATGGCTTTGGGCGTTTTCCAGAGAAGCTGGAATCAGTTTGATGTGTGTAAGGCTGGGTACGCGTTTTCGCTCGCTTTGTAAGATCTCCTAATATTCATCCCATTTTGGACTATGGAAAAAAAAATACTTTCTTCTGCAACTGCTTGCCATGTTGCCTGAGTAATGAGGATTTGTACGTGTGGCACTGGGTGCGCAGCAGTTAGTTGTGCTGGGAACAATGAAACGTAATCTTGGGATGATAAGCACACCAATATTGGGACTAATATAAGCAGTATAAAGTACCCTTTCGGGTAGGCAACTAAGGGAAAACTTGAAAACATAAAACTTTATAAGACTTGTAGATATTTTCTGTCAGTAGGTGTCAGAATCAAATTGTGGAATAGCGAGTAAGTACCATGTTAGTTTGAATACAGAGAAACTGTCAAACAGAGTAGCTGTCACTTTATCAGGACAGAAAAAGAATGAGGCAGGGGCAATACGCTGTCTATCGAACCGCTGGCCAGATGGAGCTGCTGTGCAACACCTGTCCTTTTCCAGTTCCCCTCATTCTTTTGGCCTATTCTATTAGCAAATTTAAAGCAAGCTCTGTGTCTTCGCTCCCTGGCATACTGTAAAGTGATGGAAAGTTATCTCCAGGTCTTGTAATCTCTCTTCTGATGAGTGCTTTTCTCTTACAGTTCAGGAATCCAAAGGCATCGCTCCATACCAGGCTTTCAGATCTGATCAAGCACCTTCAAAAGAAAGGAGAGAGACACTGTCAAGAGTTTTACAGGGCCCTACAGATCAATGCTGAACAGCTGTATAATGACCTGCCAAGCAGGAAAATCTTGAGTAAGTTGGTTGAGTTGTGAATTTTCTCATCGGGTGTATTACAAAACCTCATTCAGATGAGGTTTAGGTTATTTAAAAAACCTGTTTAGGCTATTTAAATAATTTTTGGAGTATACATTAGTTCCTTCTGACTGGAATTTTCTAAGCCGTAAGGGGATCTGACTGCATAGTTCTTGTTACTTGTTAACTGTTGTGGGCAGTCTAAAACTCTTGGGTTATTTTCAAACATGAAATATGTTAAAACACTTCAAGTGCAACATGTAAGATAGAGATACAAATTGTTTGAAGTACAATTTCTCTTTTCATAATCATTGCTTCTTAATGGCTTGTTTATTTCTGCTGTGTTTAGTCTGACTTGTAAGAACATTACAAACCTTAGATTTGTTAAACTCGAGACTCCAGTGACCCAGAAGCTTGGCTTTCCCTCAATCCGTAAATCTCCTAGCCGCGTCTAGCTTAACGTGCAGCAAACATTCATAGACTCTTGCAATGCTGAACTGTGACATTAATCACTTAGGGCTTGGTTTGTGCAGCTGGCAGGCCTGACTGATGTCCATGAAGCTGCCCTGCAAATATCCACTTAGGTACCGCAGAAGGGCTGAGGCTCAAGCAGATTTGATTCTGTACTGCAGAGGAGCTTGGTTCTTTAAGGAGAAGTAACAAGCCTGACTTGCCAACCTGGGATAATGCTTGCTGTGTATTCATGTTTGGGTTTTGCGTTTTTTTTTTCCTACCTAACAAACTGGAGAAAAGAACAGTGTTCCAAATGGATGGGATATACATTCAGGCATCCCCCATTCTGAGATGACTCAAGGAGCTTGAGGGAAAGCTCCCACATTTAAGTTAATGAAGCTGCAAAGGGGCTGCAGTTCAAGAAATCCTTATGAAGTACCTAAAAGCACTACTGCCTCACCAGTCAGTTTATTTCTAATTGTAAGAAACTCCACAGTTAGATGCCAGAGGAAATCTTAGACATGTGGGTCAAACTCCAGTGAGATTTAAACCATTACACCAGAAGTCCATGGGTTTAAAAAAAAACTATTAGACCTCTTCTATTTCTGGAGTGAAAATGGCATGCAAAATTGTAATTACCTTTGAAGACACTCCATTATCTAGCTGCATTTTGCCTTTCATTTTGAAGGAAAAGCTTTGTACCAGGCTGTAGGAGACTGCACCGCTTTCCTGCCTGCAGAGGGAGGCTGTGAGGTTACCCCAGGTCTCTGTATCCCATACCCGAACCCTCTTGAACTGGGAAAGTCTGGGTCCATCCCTGCCTCGGAATCTCAGATGAGCATGAATCCCTACTGATTTGGCCTTGCAACACCTTGAAGGCAGTGCATTCCATCTGATACTCATCTTGCAGAAGTCATGCCCTCAGAGGGAACAGGCTCTTATATCAAATAGTTTTGGATCAATTGTTTTTACTCCAGCAGAGCTCAAGAGCAAGAGGTTTTCCTGCCAGGCTGACCAGAAGGCAGCAGACAGCCTTTATTAATGAAGAGCAATTTAATAAGTCTTAGTGTAGTCACTAAGAATAAAATTGCAGGAGTGTATTGATGGTTTAAGAGTTTAAGCTCAGTAACACTTGCCTTTTACAAGCCATTTCTGAAAATGTGTCTTAACGTGTGTACACAGAAGCTGAGGCCCGACTACATCCCACATGGATGGTCTGAGTTCCGTTGGATGCTAGAAATAGCATAGCTGTGACCGAGTTCATCTGCACCTGTAAAACTCATGTTGGAAGTTGTGCAGGTATTGTGAAGATGAGCTCTCAGGCACACTGCCTTGTGCCTGGACAAAGCGGCCGAACAGCAGCTTCCGTAGGGTGTCCACATGTTTTCACTTCTAGCAAGAACACGAACGTGCTTGTCCTTCTATCTGATGTATGCAGTCACTTCTGAGGGCTTTTGCTTGGGTAGCCACAGGAGCAGGCAGGGGTAGGGCTTCTCACATTCAGATTGCACTAACAAGTGCCTGTGCTAGAAGTGCTCTGCAGAAAAAACAGAGTTATTTGTGGTGCCCCAAAGCTGTTCTGCTGCTGTTGCGTTATGCAAAGGGACTCCAGTAACCATCAGAAGTCATTAAATTGTGACAGGACAAGGGGTAGTGGTTTTAAACTAAACCAGGGTAGGTTTAGACTGGATATAAGGAAGAAGTTCATTACAGTGAGGATGGTGAAACACTGGAAGGGATTGCCCAGAGAGGTGGTGGAGGGCCCATCCCTGGGAACATTCCAGGGCAGGTTGGAGGGGGCTGTGAGCAACTTGATCTGGTTAAAGGTGTCCCTGCTCCCTGCAGGAATGTTGGGCTGGGTGACTTCTAAAGGTCCCTTCCAACCCAAAGCGTTCTATGATTCTATGAAATTCTCTGTTTCTTGGTACACAGTCTATGTTACCATCCTCAGAACAATGAGAATAATTTAAATAACTGAGTTAAAACACCACTGTGTGGTGAGATTCTGCAGTTTCCTTATATTGACCTGAGAAGGAAATAATGAGGTAATTGTGTTAATGAGTTCTGTAACTAAATCAAATGTCCGCATTCTGGATTGAATGGTTGATAAATGTCTTGTGCAGCATTTTAAGCTAAAACTGCAAACAATTTTATTCTTCAGGAAAAGCCCCATTTTCACTACGAGGTGTTATTGCTCCTTTAACTGAACTTGAACATTTTGAATATTAAAGGCATTATCCTTCTGACCTCTTAGCATGTACAGTTTTTATGTTACACAGATGTTACTCACAGCAGCAGTTGTTAAATTTGTCAAATTTAGCCCAGAGCATTTACAGAGTTGACAGTAGAATGTGTAAATGTGAAGAAAAAAGGTAATCCCCAACACAGGGAATTTGTTGTAAATGCAGATTGAAACTAAACAAGCAGCATTATAAACAACTGGAGAAATGACTGGTGAGAACGCTGATGGCCAGGACAGTTCTATAATAGATTACATGCAGCTGTACATATGAAGAATGTTTTCTCCAGAGAGAATCCTTTCAAAGATTTCTTTTTCATTTTTAAAACAACTTTAAAATTTGTACTAGAACAAAATTTATTTGCCTCACGCATAATATTTCAAGTCAAATGTTTAGTAATGTCTGAGAATTCCCACTAGAGGGTGGGTGAGGCACATGGCACAGCCAACTCCAGAGCTACTGAAGCTAAGCAGGATCTTCCAAGTCACTCAGAAAATGTTTTCATTTCTCTCAATGCTGACAGGCAGTAGGAAGGTAAAGGATCAGATCAGCCCTGCACAGCGATAGCCTGATGAAGCTGCAGAGGGTTGGGTGTGCTCTCCTTGGTTGCCACTGATGCATCGCGGGCCAGGGAGGCTTTGCAGCAATCCTTTCGCTTCAGTGACTCTCAAGCTTTGCAGCAAAGTGCTTCAGATATTTCTGTTTTGCTTGAATGCTGTGCCCTGTCACCCCACCAAGAGGGACCTATGTAGTGTGGGAGACAATGTTCAGCGTTGCCTGTTGGCTGGCAGCAGGTCCCCTTTGCTGGCGTGGTGTACGGGACACTTTTCCAAGGCACCTCACCTAGCTCCAGGTTGTCACATAGGAGAAGGAAGTCAGTTGAAACCAAACAGTCTCACATTCTTCCCTACTGATAGCCACAGTTGGAGTTGTCACTGACGACAGAGAGGTTTGGCTAAAAAAGTTGTTCTGCGAATTCATGTTGCATTAAAGGAAAGCCATTCCTCTGCTGTTTACGGTGACAGCGGTGTTGTTTGGTGTTGCACACATGTTCTGCAGACAATGTTATCCCACATCTGTATGGCAAAGGCCACTCTAAACGAGCTGCAGGTCTGCCCAAAGCAGAAACTGCCCCGCTGCTGCTGACCACGGAACACCGGTCTTAAGGTCAACCTCCTTTTCCACGAGAATTTGCAGAAAGACAGAAGCAAGAATTATTTGTGCCAGCTGTTAGCATGCAGACCTACAGGCTGTCAGAGCAGCTGCATGCATCTTCAGCTGCGACCAGAATCATGATGAATAACCCCCACCGAGCTGTGTGTTCCAAGCACTTCAGCTGCCAGATACGTTAATGCCCAGAACAGACAGAATGGCGATGCATTAAGTTATAGGCGTGTTTCCAGATCAGCGTGAATATTAACAAATAGTTTCAGTTTCTTAAAACAGCAATTCCTGGCGTCACGGCAGGATTAGCTCCTGCTTTCCGTGCTTGGGAGCAAGTGTAATGTTCCCTGTGTGCTTAGTGCTCAACCCAAGCAGAGGTGTTGCTGCAGCCGTTCATAGTTGCAGTCAAATGACAACGTACCTATGTCCTTTCATCAACATATGTCCAGATTTATCTATAGCGATGATTTACCTCCGGAGGGGTTAATGTTTTATGTCCAAATTGGGTATTTTTCTGCAATGTCTTGTTTTGCATGTGCTGATTATGTTCATTTGTTTGCGTGAGCTGAGTACTAACTTTTCATGTGTTGCTTTTATTTCTAGAAACCACAGATTCCACAGGGATAGACCCTGACAAGGAGAAATATATGCTAAATGACAGGGGTAAATAAATGCATATGGTGTCACCGGACGGAATGGCTTTTCAGATTATGATGCAGTTTATTTTATCGTGTAATTTGCATTTCATGTAACAAATTGTTTGTTTTATGACGTCTTTACTGTCACAAGTTAAGTGGCGTTAATGGAGGAAAATGTACTGAGCTGCTGTCGAGGAATCCAGTGCCAGGAAATTCGAGAGACTCTAGGGTTTAATCAATATTTACAATGGTAGTTTTACTTACACGTTTGTCTATAAACTCTTCATTTCCTATCATTTCTTCAACGCTAGAATAGTAAGGTCTGCTCAGCAGCTGCTGCTGTTATTTTGCATAAGGCCATCAATAATTTTTTAATGTAACTTTCAATTTTTTTCTTTTTTTTTTTTTTTTTAAGCTTTCAATTTAAGGACAAATAATTGGAAAACAAAGACAGATAAGAAGATGAGCAAGGGGGAACTTAAATGTATTTTCCCTAGGAAAACTTGTTAACTTTTTTCCCCCTCCTCAGCACCCGGATTAGAGAGGCACATATTTTATTCACTGAAAGAGATTGTCAAAAGGAATTGAAGATCTGAAAGAAAGCTGAGGAATTTTCAAAATTGATGATGAACTGTTTTGTCATTTAAGTTTAATTGATATTTATTTAGAAACTTGGATACAATTATGAGAGAATAAGAGCACCTTCTATGAGTTAAGCCCTTTTGCCAGTTTTCCCCTAAGAGAAAATTGGAAAGAGGGCCAGAAGCGCCGTTTACCTCAGTGTGTATTTTTGTAAGTCCATATATGGTTTTGCCTGTGGCGTTACATGGAATATTGAACCAAATTGCTGTCCGGCTCATTCACACTGCCATTGCTGGCTGCAGCATAACAGTACAGGTGGAACAGAGAAAGTGCTTGGAAACAAAGAAAATGAAATAATTCCTGTTCTTCCTTGTGCCACCAGAAGAGCTGGCCCTGGGCTGGAGGTTGTCTGGCTGCAAGCCACCCTCGTGGGGGGATTACGTCTGAAGGAGCAGCCAAGTCCTTGCTCCTTTGCTTTTTCTCCAAAGCCCTTGTCGGCCTGGTCAGCTCTGCTAATTCTGTTGGTCTGTCATACGTTTGCCCTTGAATTGACAGGTGCCGTTTAATTGCAGCTATGTGCATAGTGAAGTAAAAGATGCAAATAGAATATCAGGTAATACAGAAGCAGATATAAATCTTTATGAGGTTTTGTCTGTGGATAAGTATGAATTAGAGAGGTTTTATTGAGCATCACTACTGAACATCAGCGTTAAACTGCCTGTAATTGGAGGCAGGCGCACAGAGGAAATGCTTCCAGCGGGGTATCTGGTTTAGGGGTGCGTGTGGCTCTCCATTTCAGTTTTCAGCAGAACTGTAAACAGGAACAAGAATATTTGCTCTTGTCATGAAAGTGGAATTTGTGGAACATCTGTGGGGAAAAAACAAAACCCTAAAAATCTGCTGCTGAGGGACTGCGGTCTCCTGTGATGTGCTGCTGGCCTCAGGCAGTGCCTTGGCCCGGGGCGGCTGTTTCATGCTGCAGCGAGGTCCCAGCAGTCTGCTTAGTGTTTTGTTGTGGGGGTTGCACAAAGTTTAAGAGTGAGAAGACGCCGAAGGAAGCTTTCACTTCCATTTCATCAGATGTAGGTAGATGAACAGAGGCAAACAGTGAACAGTGTCAAAGCAACCGTAGTAAAAATTAATTGCAGTCTAGTAAATGTGCTTCATAGTACATTAGCTACAGAACATATCTAATTGTGACTGTTAGCTTCATTTGAATTATGCATATTAATAGCAATTGATGATTTATGACCTGAGCTAAACTTCCACTGCTCTGTCTTAACGTGTTTTCTTTTCCATTTTCTTTAGGTCCAGTGTTTTTCCTCGCTTGCTTTAGCATTGCTGCAGGATTTGCCTTGGTTTGGTATTGCTGTAACTCAGGTAATCTCCACTGGTGTTTTTTCTCTTGGCCACCTTGCGTCAGCACAGGGTGGGAGAGCAGTGTGCCTCTTGATCGAACATGGTTTCGTTAATAGAGCGGGTCAAGGTGTCATCATTCATTAATGAGGCAAGGATACGAATTGTGCTTCAGACATGCTGAGATATACATAATGGATAGTTTGCCTACAGAGGATGCCACAAATAGGGGCTCTTTTTAAAGACGGTAGTCATGCGAGCTCCTGTTGGTATAGCAATGGGTCACAATTCCCAGCCGTCAGGAGACAGACCCAAACCTTCTGGCTTTCACATCCCTTGGGAGCTGGTTGAAGCATGGCCAGTGCCAGGGCCGGAGGTCACTGGCTCAGCTTGCCAAGCCCGAGCTGCTACAGCCGTTGCTGCTGTTGCTGGCTCTGGGTGTAATCTCTCCCGCTGGCTGAAAGTCTTCTCCTTCATGGCAGCCAGCAGAGCAGAGCTCCTGCTCCTCTTTGCAGTCCTACCCTCCACTTGCCCAATGTTGCTGGAGAGCGGCAGCTCTTAGCAGAAAGCGTGTGGATGCCATGTGGCTCAACTTGGGCAAAGCAGTGAGTCAGTGCTGGTGGGAGAGGCCCTGGGGGAGAGGGTGGCTGACTCAGAGGCGTCCCTTTCTCTCGAGTCTTCTCATGGTGCCGTGGGAAGTGCCAGTCTTCACGTGGTAGATTGGAAGCAGAATCCAAGCTCTGTTTTGGTTTTAGTGCCTTCTGCTCCTTGTGCCTCAGTCACAGCAGTTACAGTCAGACGTTGTTCTTTACTGTTTTTTTTTCCCAGAGCTATAGGCTACGGCAGCACCAGTTCATGGACATTTCAGGTGATGGGGGAGCCTGGGCTGTGTTACCTTTCTTTCGCACATCAGAGTCCCTCAACTGGGCTGTCCATGGAGTCAGGCTTTAAGGCTAAAAGGGAACCGTCAGACCTTCGAGGCTAACCCCTGTGTTTCCTTAGCTGCCATCACTTCCTTTCATCAGGGTCAGTCACCAGCATTTAATAGAAGCATTTTCAGAAAAGCATTCAGGGACTGGTATCAAAAAAGCAGAGAGTCCATCACTTCCCTTGATCCCAGCTAATTTTCCATAGCATTAGAAGTATGTGTCTTATTCTGAGTTGGAACTGGTTTCAGCTCCAGCCTATCATTTTTGTTAAGCCTTTCTCTACCAGATTGCAGAGCCCCTTGGTTTTGTGCCAGCTGACATTTCGTATTTTCTCCCTGTGGAGGTCCTCGTGCCTCAAGTCAGCTCTCCGTCTTTATTTTTGCTAAAATTACCAAGTGATCTCTCCAAGTCTTTTGTTCCAGGGCTCGTTTTCCCAGTTTTTGAGGCTCTTTCCCATACCTAGCAGTATCTCAATGCCCCAGACCTAGGTGTGGTGTGCCAGGCTTGCACCGTCTGCTGCCATGCTCAGGTATAAAGCTGCCCCCTTACCTAGCACTGTAACCTCCTCTTTGTGTGTCTGAACTTGCAGCAATCAATCCTGCCAGGGTCATCATTGTCCTGTCTTGGCAGTTGATGTATACAGTACTGAAGGAAACGGGCTTTCCTCTGGAGTAAATATTTTTTTACTGATTTTTATTTTTTGTAGATGCTGCTTACTGGCTGGAATGAAACTTAACTGTGTTCACTTTCTCTTTTTCTTCCCATCTGCGTTCTGTTTTAGATACAAAAGTCATAGGAAGAGCGAGGAGAATCTTGGGCTTTTCTCCTGTTATCATAGGAAGACACGTTAGAAATATTGTAATGTTGTATTTGGAAGACATATCAAGAAATTAAGGAAAAGCTGCCTCTTTGCTTGCCTGCACAGCGTACCTGCCAAGGGAAGACAACGGTGCATGAATATTGATGTACTATGTGCTCATACCAAAGATTTTATTAACTAGCTTAATCAGTAATTGTGTTGCCTCAAGGTGTATTCAGAATCTCAGCTATATACGTCCTTCCTTCTGGGAATGGACCTTTTATTTTTGTAAATGCTTATTTTAAAATATTTATCGTTTGGATAAAAATTTTTTAATACAAACTTTAAAATTCTATCTTAAGTGATCATGGGTCTTAAGCCATGTTTGCATATGTGTTTTATACTGGAATGAAGGATCCCAGCTGTTCAAAGAATACTGGCCTGTCTTTTGTGATAATTTAAGAAAAGCACTTAAAGCCCCATGTACACTCAGAGCCTTACTAAGGACTGGATCTGTTTTGTCTAGATCCTTTATACTTACGCTGGAGCTCAGGTGGGCACTGGCACCTGCGACGCTTATCAGTGCCAGTTACCTTTGTGTCTGCCAGGCACATGCCGTGTTTTCTGGCTCCTCTCGTGCCTCATCCCAGCCTGCCTTGTTCACATCGACACCCAGCTGTTGGCCATGGGCTGAATGTGCTGGAGCTGGTGCAGGCTGGTTCCCAGCCCATGGAGGGTCCCAGAGCGTCTGATCTGAAGCACTTGAAACTACCAAGAAAATTTTTCAGATTTATTTAGCTTTTCCTTTTCCAGTGAAGTGTTTTGCAGTCCGTGTATCTAAGGAACTGAAGTAATCAAAGATATTTTGCAGGGACTGAAGAGCCATGGCATAGGGCTTTTTTATGGCCAAAAATATGTATGCTTACTTGAAGAGCCTGAGGTGGTTTGTGTCATTGGATGATGTTCTGTTTGTCTCCTGTGAGTTGAAACGTGAAAAGCTTGCAGGCAGTGCTGTAAGACTGAAATGCTTGAGAGAGATGCAGGGAGTCAGGGCTGCAAGTGAAGCAGCTTGGGGTTTCTTAGCTTTATGAACTTAACCTTGCTCCTGCCTTGCTCAGTGCAGAGCATAACAAGCCTGTGGCCCAGGGGAGGAATGGAGTACAGGGCCAAATTTTCAAATGAAAGGCCCAAAGAGGTCTTGGCAGGAAGACTTGCAAGACTTCATCTTGTGAGATGAAAAAGGGCTCAGAGGACCCTGATTCTACTCTTCTGATGAAAAGTTTTCACCTATGGCACTGGAGTGTGGCTGGGACACGAGCCGGCTGCGTGTGGAGGTAGCCATGGTCTTCGTTAGCTCAAACCTCAGGAACAGACGGCGCATCTTTGTGGCCATGGCTGGAGCGAGTGCAGCTCATCTCGAAACGCCCACGCGAAACCCAGCAGGCTGCAGGGATAGCTCTGCCACCAGGCTGTAAGGCAGCAGAAGCCGTCTGGCTCAGTATGTATGCTGACTCTGGGAAGGCAAGCTCCTGGTTGCTGGGTTTATGCTGCCGACAGTGCCTCCACTGGCTGCCCTGAAGCTGGCTTGGCTGTTCTTACAGGCTTTGGCCACAGAGCCGGCATTCCCCTGGTGGCTCCCCCGGCCTAACTGCGCAGCTCTCAACAGCAGACTTTTCTGCGCGGGCAGGCAGGTGTACCCCAGGATCAGCAGTGGGCCCAGGGATGTTACAAACACTTAATAGCCCAATCACTGCGGTGTAAAACGGGGAATAAGACAAATGCCATGCAAACAAAACAACACCCAGGAGAGGAGCTTATTTTGACTTCTTTCCCCCTGCCTCCACCCCACTGTCTCCAGTGTCTCTTCGATCTAATCCCCACGGGGACCCTGGTAGGGAGAAAACGGTGACGGAGCTGAGCACATTTCCTGCGGAGCTGGCTGAGTGCCCGGCTCTGCTGCGCTCATCGCTCTGCGAGCTGCTGTCGTGCCGCCTTCCATCTTGGGAAGCGCTTGGGTTGGGCTCTGTCGTTTTCTCTCTGCCTTGCCATGTGTTTAAGGTGGCAATAGGTTGGGGTTTTTCTCCAGCAAACCAGCTCTGATGTACAACGTTTGAAGCGAAATGTTCCTTTCCCCGCTGCTGCTCACCTCCTGTAGCAGCCCCTTTTTAAGGGACTAGGAAAAATACCTCTGGAATCTAAAGGGGTTTTAAATCTTCGCCTTGAAGCCAACTTTGAAACCTCATTAGAGGAACAGTATTCCATTTAACAAAAAAAACATTATCCAAAGTAATGGCAACAGTTAGGTCTCATATTAAAGCAGAAGCAGAGGCCTTACTGCTGCTAGACAGTCTTTCTCTTTAGACTATCCACTGTGTCACCCTTTGAATAACAGGTTGCAAGTTGTTGTGAGCTGTTTCTGAAGCATATGGAAGTCACCGGTGCCTTATTTAATCTGACGGTGAGATTCTGCTGTGCCTGCTGGTTGAAGGAGGCTGTGCAGTGCCAGAGCCACCCGGGTCTGCCCCAGGAGTGCGCTGGCTGGGCAGCAGGACACGGTCCTCCCACTTCTGAAACTGAGTGGCTTTCTTGAGCCTTGAAAACCATTTGGAATAGTTCCAGGGTTAGGGCTGGCAGGAGAGAGGAAAATGAGTCCTGGTTCATCCCAGTGTTGTTAGTTAAAGGACCTAACCGCAAAGAAGAGACAATAGTCTGTTCCCTTGTGAGTGCTAGTTTTTTAAATTAAAGGTAAAAGTGAGGCTAACTGTAAAATTGGTGTATGTATAGCCTGGCAGATGTTCTTTTTCTTGGGAGATTTTTCTTTCAGGAGCAAATACTGAAGTTTAACGTGCTTCTCTGCAAGCGCATCAATGCAGCACGTGCTGCCAATGCGGCGGTTCCATCCTCATTCCTGGAGGATGCCCGTGAGGGAGCTGGGTCCTCCTTGGCCAGCAGTGTTACTTACCGGGAACAAACCACGTGGGGTCTGGGATGAGCCTGTCAGCTGTGGAGTTCCAGCTTCCCCCTCGAGTCAAGGACAGCTTGTCCTTTGCTGCTGCAACTGTACTGGTATTTAGAAATGTGCTTGACTTAACGTGCGGGGAAGTTGTCCTGGCTTTGTGCGGTTCAGTAGGTGGGTATGTGTGCGGAGGACAGAGGCCGTTCTCGTGAATGCCCTGGTTCTTGTGCTGCAGACAGTAAGCGTAGAGGAGCTATTAAAAAGCAGCCATTTTCAACGTACCCTCTCTCGTGTTGTGCAACTCTCACTGAAGAAGTGAAATGTTTGGTTTTGCCTGCAGCATAAGCGGGTTGTGCCTCTAGCGGCACCGTGGGCTGAGGAACCCAACAGCTGTGGCGTGAGTGAGGCTCTCCTGGGGCTGAACGTGGCCCTTGGAGAGGAGCAAGGAGGAGCTGTGGGCTCCAGGCGGGAGCATGCGGGCTATGGAGCGGTTGGCTGCCCTGCCGGCAAGTGCCTGGGATGGACGCGTTGCAGCTCCCGCCGGGCACCGGCCCCCTTTGCTGCTGCACGACTTCGGTGTGAATCTAAGGGGAGGGAGCCAGAAATCATCCTCCCCCGTGTTTGTGTTTTTTTCTTGTGAATGGGCTTTTTGATTTAAAGTGAAGCCGAACTGCCTCTGGTTATCCTGGTGGCGATGTCGGGGCTCTTTAGGTTGAAGGATGAGGGTCAGCCGGGGTGGCAGCCCCCAAGCGGAGCACGCGGGCAGCTGGCCCCAGCACGGAGACAGCTGAGGCAGAGTGACGGGGCCGTCTGCGTGCAGGGAGCGCTGGGAAGCAAAGCGACAGGCAACGGAACATGCAGTGAATTTGCACAATTCCATTTAAAGACAGCCTGCTCTTTAAAGTGCTTCAGTGGAGTGCGATGTGCCCGCGAGGCGGAGCTGGAACAAAGCACTGATTCTCTCCGGGACACGCTGGGCTGCTCCGTAGCTGCTGGCTGGGGTTTTCAAAGCTGCTGAGGCAAAGTTACTCTTTTTATTCCTTTCACTTGTGATTTTGGGGGTTTTTTTCCCCTCATACTGTAACAAATTGAAAACACGTTTGGTCAAAATTTGAAGTTGTGAATGCTTTTCACTGCTGTTCTGCATGCAGAAGCACTACTCCAGAGCGACACCGTGCCGTAGCTGTGGACCCGGCGTTGCTGCTACGCTGGGAAATGCCAACAGTTTGCTGTGCTTCACGGCTCCCATGCCTTGCAATCATTTCTCCCATCTTGAACTCTGTAGAAATTGGTGGAATTTGGTTGTGTTTTTTTTTTTAATGGGGTGAAGCTGGCAATTAAATTGAAATAAAATCTGTACTGAGAAAAAAATACTGTTGTCTTTCTTGCAGTTAATGCTTTGCACTTCCTTCCAGAAGCGCCCCGCAGCCTCCTGCCCTCCTGTGGCTGCTGTCTGCCAGCAGACTCCCGCCTTGCCTCTGCTCTGCGATGGTAAAATTTTTGGTTTGGGTAGTTCTGGCAAGATTTTTAATGCTTTCATCTGCTTTCAAAATTCTTTGCAGTTTTCCTGCTTAACTCGCTTAGTGATCTGAAGTCACAGGGCGCCTCGGTGCAAAGCCTGGGTGTCTTTTGGCAAAGCTTTGCTGTGTCGTTCTGGGAGTCCAGCGAGTTGTTGCCCATCAGGACTCACGCGGAGGCCTGCCTCTTCGTGGTATGAAGTGACTTTGACACAAGATGGATTTTAAGAGTTGCTTGGACCACCCAAAAAGGGACTCTGAGTAAGAAAAGCATGGAAACAAATTCGTTACTGGCCTGTTCTTTTGGGTCAACTTGAAGGGGGATGTGCTGGCCCGGGTGCTCCTGTGGGCAGCGATAAGGATCCTACCAAAGCAGCGGGGTTGCTGGAGCGGGGGAAGCTTCAGGGGCAGTTGCAGACCTGTAGCAGGGGGGGGTTGCTGGAGCGGGGGAAGCTTCAGGGGCAGTTGCAGACCTGCAGCTGGGGGTGCACCCCCAGCTGCAACACTTTCCATGGGGGCCAAGAACCAGAGCCTTGACGCCTTCCCGTAGCCCGCGAGACTTCAACAGGAGCTGGGTTGTCGGTGTCAGTGGAGGACAATCTCCTGTTGGGGCAACTGTTGATCCTTCGCCCCCCCGGAGGGTCTCTCCCCTCATTCCCTGGGGCTGGTGTGGCTCTGGGGGGAAGAGGCTGAGGAGCTGCTGCTTCTCCGGGAGGATGTTCCTGCGTCGGCGCTGAGCAGGCACGTGGTGCCCAGGCCCCCTGCTGCTGCAGCAGAGCTCTTGTGCCCGCTGCCAGGAGAAGGGACCGGCGCAAAGCTTTTCTCCATGGACATCGCCAGGGTTTGATGTGAGTGAAAAAAACAGCTACAAAACTGTAGGACTTGGAGGACAGGGTAATTTTCATTATAGCTTCAACTTGTCTGCTTCACAGGGACATGGTTCATGCGAAGGAAGGCAGTGGCTCGGAGGGCGCAGGTCTGCAGCAGCATCGTGCGTTTAATTCAGTGTGGCTGTTTTGGTGTAAAAGAGCATTTGGGGTGAATCCTGCCCTGCCCTTTCTATTTTGGAGCACAGGCCACTACATGCTGCAGTCGCAAGGAAAAGCTTTCTGCCGTGTTGCTGTTGATAAATCTTTAATAACGTTGTGCCTAGGAAAGCAAAAACCTTTCAGACTTGCTCTGCGCTTCACGAGTTGGTAACAGGGGAAGTCAGACACCAGCAGCCAGAGCGCCACAGCACCTGAAGCCTGAATAAATGACTGCAAGATGTGTCCTCACGGCATGACTTCCACCAAGTCCTCTCTTTTCAGTAGCAAAATACCTCATTACCTTTTCCCTTAAGCCCAGGTTTTAGCTGCCCGGGGTGGGGGCGGGTTGCAGCGCCCAGGCCCTGCAGCCCTGTCTGGAGGATGCTGCACGTGCCCGCCGGCAGCACCGCAGCGCCAGTTCTGGCAAGGGCCTGGGCTGGCAGCACCGCCTGGTCCCTGCGGCTGGCCCCCCGCTGAATGCCAGGCTCTTGCGTTAACAGAAATTGAGAGATCTAAGATGATTTTCCAGTGCCTGCACGGGGTTAATTAATTTTAAAATTTCCTAGTGGACGTTACAAATAGGATGCCTGTGCCTCTCAAATGTTCCTGATCCCTAATGGTTGCAGGCAGCTGCATTGCACTTTTCATCCCTCTGTGGAGGAAAAAAAAAACCCCACCGAGACTGAGATTTCCAAATCTACCCGGGGCTGAGAAGGAGGCTGGAAACCTGTGGAAGAGGGGGGTTACCCTGCTCCCATGGCTGCCCGGGGAGAGCTCAGCCCTCTGTCCCTCTCCCCCCGCTCCTGTGTCCTGGGGTGACCTTTCCACTTGCCTGGGTGTTTTGCTTTCAACAAAGATTTGTTAAGAAGGGTTCCCAAGCATAGAGTGGATTTCAGGTATTTTCAGAGAGGGAGAAGAGGCAAAAAAATCTGTGCTCTCCATCCTACCAATTCCAGCGCGGGACTTGTCCTTGATTGGAAGGACAACGCATTTTTAAAATTCATGGGTGTCGAAACCCAAGGTTGCTCCTGAGCAGAGCTGGTGACTTCTGCCCCTTTCTGCTGCCAGAGAAGCTGGCAGGGGGGCGAGGAGCTCCCTGGCCCCGCTACGGTGGGGTGCAGTGCGGTAACCCCCGCCCTGGGCTGGTGCTTGGGCTGCTGGGATGGGGGAGACAAGGGGTGGCACACGGGAGTCGGGTGCCGTGCTGCAACAACCAGGAGTGAGCGCTGACAGCTCCGCTTATGCTTTTTCCTGCCCATGGGTGAGGAAAATCCAGAATCCATCGCTACTTTCAAATGCAAGATTGAACCTGTTATGCGCAGGTGAGGGGTCAGAGGCTGTGCTGGATGCTGCTAGACGTGTTACAAAGGCCAAACAGGCGCCTTCGTACACCCTTGGTAGCTTTTGCTCTCTGCCTCACACCTCATGCAAGCTGGCTGATTAAGGGCACTGGGGGGGGGGGCATTCTTGTCCCGTCGCGGTGAGCATGGGGCTGGTCCTGCTTCTGAATCTCTCACCTGGAGGGCTTACAAGGCAAGCGTGGGAGCTTTTTCTCCCACCCTTCAATCACACACCACCCCATGCCTGCTTTGCTTTAGCTTTATGCCGGTTTATGGTTACGCAGCAAGGCGCAGTTCGAGCCCCCAGAGGTGGGAAGAGGCTCATCCTTCCCTCTGCGGTCCCATGCGCGCTGCTCAGAGCTGGCCCCGAGCCACCCTGATTTACCACTGCTGCGTCTTTCTGCTCTGGGGGAACTCCATCCTGCCAGGAGGTAGGAGGTCATGGCAGGTAGGAACTGAATTTAAAGTCCAGGTATGACAGGTAAAATGATAGCAGAAAATAATAATTAATAATAATTTAGATAGCAGTTTTCTATGAAAGAGCTGCAAAAGTGTCTTTCAGGGTATTCCCAGGCAGGGAGCACTGTGGGGCACAGGCGAAACTTGTCTTGACTAGCATGGAGTTGTTGAGAAAACAAGTCAGGAGGAAATTCCTCATTCAGAGCTGGATGAAATTCAACCCTAGATGAGCCTAGGCTGGTCCCGACTCTGGAAACACGAACAAGACCATTGATCCATCATTGACTTGATGATCTTAAGGTCTTTTC